CTTGCCTAAGAGTGTCTAAAGTTGTGTTCCAAATCCTTGCCTAGAGTATCCAAAGTTGTGTGTCCAAATTCTTGCCTAGAGTGTACAAAATTGTGTGTTCAAATCCTTGCCTAGAGTGTCCAAAATCATATGTTCAAACACTTGTTTAGAGTGTTTTAAGTCATGTGTTCAAACCCTTGCCTAGAATGTCCAAATCATACATTCAAACCGTTGCCTAAAGCATTCTAAGTTCTGGATTTAAACCCTTGCTCATCAGAGAAAACAACAACAAAACAACACAGAGTAGCTCCGTAGTTTTAGTCTGTGTCAGGGAAAATGTCAAGCATTGATAAAGTTACTATTTTTAAAACCTTGATTGGGCAAGAGCTCTATGATGTAAATCTCTCTAATTCCATCTTTCTGATAAACAGTTGAAGTTTAGGCAGATGTTAATATTTGCCTCAGTGCACTTGTCAGGGAGGGAAGGAGACAGCACTGAGTCTGTGTTACAATCAGAAAAAATAAAAAATAAAAACAACCCTGCTTGTTTGAAGCTAAGCTTTATTTCCTTTGCTCCAAGTCCTTCTCCCATCATCTTTCTTTAAACTGTGTTATTAAAAATGATTTAATCCTCTTCTGTATTCTCATAGTACAGAGCATTTCAAGAGCCCTATTGCCAACAGAGTACAGGTCCTCTTACCAAATGCTTCAAAGACAGCATCCACCTTTGAGTCAACACCTGGGAAGTCCTTGGCTATCTTCCTGGGAAATCCAGGCTCCATGGATCGTTTCTTCTCATCAAATCTGCAGAAGAAGCAAGAGTGCAGTTCAACAGTGCATGGAGGGTGTGCTCTCCACGCTCGTGAGCCTGTGGAATTCCAGCAAGCTTTCCAAGTTCTGCACATAAACGTCAAACTTACTTAGTACCATGTGTTTTTCATAAGGTAAAAACTTAGCTCTTAAATGATAGCTACTTTGGGAACAGGACAACAGCCTATTACAGCAATACTGTTTGTTACTGACTTTCTTAAGCCTGGGCAAGAGAATCTTCAGATCCTTCTTTCAATCACAAATCATCTACACAGATACAGCTATTTGTTTGTATGGTCGTGTGAATATACAATCATGTGTACATATGTCTGCATATAAGTGAACACACCCATGTATGTGTGGACTAAGTTACTGGTCAGAAATATGATTTCCATGACTAGAGGGATGCCTTAGTGGTTAAGAACACTTCTGCTGTTCTTTCCCATGACTTCAGCTCATGTCCACAGTCAGATGACTTACAGCTAGCTGCCTATAATTCCAGCCTCGGAGCATCTGGGGGTCCCCTCTTCTGGCCTCTGTGGACACCTGCATGCCCATGCACACACTTTTACACAGATATGCCCTCAGAAATAGAAATAGGCTGGAGTGATGGCCAGCTGTTAAGAGCAATGTCTGCTTTTACAAAGGCCACAGGTTAGGTCCATAGCACTCACATGGTGGCTTGCAACCATCTGTACCTTCAATTCCAGAGGAATTCTATGCACATTTCTGCCTACAAGGGTACTGCATGAATGTGGTGCATGTGTAAGCACACACACACACACACACACACACACACACAGACACACACACACAATGCTCATAAAATGATAAAAGAAAATTTAAAAGTTGGATATTAAAAACAAGAAACTATACTTTCCAGTTCACCACCATAGTAGGCTGTCTGTTCTTTCCCTACACTGTACACTGAAGTTTTCTCTGGATGCTCCCTAGCAGAGGGGACTGAATGAGACAAAAAGTGCAGTAAGTGTGGTTTTGGCCAATGAGCTGCACACTGGACGGTCTGCCTTGATGTCTCAATATCTGGACTGATGGCCTAGGACTTAGGAAGTCTGTGAGGAGTCCTGAGTGGAAACCATGAAAGTGGTCTGCTATTGTGTCTCATCTGTAACCAGTCAGAGGTCATCTGAAGTCCCTGAGAGGATGTCAACCCACACATAGGAACAATGACTCTGGGCACTGGCAGAGGAGTGATCATGGGGGCAGGGGCTCATTATGAGAAAGTAAAGGCCAGTTGCACTTGAAGTTCAGAAACAAAGACTTCATGAAGGTGGAGGGAATTAAGCCTGAGCTTGAAGTATGTGCAGGATTGAGCAGGTAGAGAAGAGGGTCTACACAGAGTTAGGGAGGGGAGGAGACACATGCTCTAAACTTAAGAAATGCCTGTTGGAAGATGCGCCCATGTTTCTAGGTCCTCCGCCCCGAGTTGTCAATGCCCCTGTGTGGGTTTCTGATCCCGCCCCCGTTGTCAATGCCCCTGTTCTCACCCAGAGAGGGAGAGTGAGGATAAGCGCGAGGCGGAAGCGTTTTCTCTAGGGCAAAAGCAATTCTCAGGCGGCCTCTTTGCAAAGCCATGCTCCCAGCATCTCACCTCCAGTATTGGTCGTCCACAAAGAAGTAGGTCTTCTTCGTCTCCTTAGCACTCACAGCGGCGTCAATCTTCCTGACCGCGGGAGGGAAGCCGAGAGCATGGATGCTTTTAGGGTAACCGGCTTGCTCCTCGTGCCCTCGGACTGCCCAGAACTGAGTTCCTTTACAAAAAACGAAAGAATGACAGAAACATCAGTAGTGTTAAAAGTCCAGGAACCATGCCTTGCAATTTCGGAAATACATTCTTTACGCCATGTCTTTTCACGGTGAATAAATTTAGGCCTTAGCTGTGTGATGGGCATTCAAGAAAAATGCCCAGCTGGAAAGAATCAACCGAGGTCAAATGAGGGAATTTTCAACCTGGGCAATGTATCTCCCTGAGTTCTTTTTTAAACTGTCAATAAAATGTTGGTTTTATGGGATTCTTTATTATCTTTGCCTATTTTTTTAATTACACAGAATTGAACATAGTGAAGAAAAGCCCTGTTCACTTTTCCACCCGAAGGCTTGTTCCACTAAGTTAAAGCAGTGCTGTGGAAAGGCACCTTTAAAAACGAAGACAGTGTCTCTGTTAGCAACCTCGTAGGCAGCATCTATGCTGGAAGGAAGGGACGGCCAAAACGAAGAGATCAAATAAAAGCCAGGCTCAGGAGTCCTCAAAGATTTTCGCCAAAAATGCCTAAAAATAGATGTAAGAGAAAGACAGATGACAACTGAAAAGCAACCTTTTGTCTTTAGTGTGTTACCCCTCTGTCCCAATTCTCCCAACATTCTCTCATCCTCTGGGTTGGGCGACCAAAATGTAGGAATGTCATTACTGGGAAAATAGCTTCTCCGGGTCTCTCTGCCTCTGTCTCGCTCCCTCCCCACTCCCCAGAGGAGGACCACAGCCGTCCTCCTGCCGTAGATTTCCAGACAACATCTGGGAAAGCAAATCTCTCCGTCATGTCACTGTCGGCTAATTAGTTCAGCACAAGCTTTGACCACACACAAGACACAGGAAACAACATGGAATTAGTAATTACCCACACTTCCCATAGTGAGTGAGTGAGGTGTGTGTGTAATGCTATACATATATATGTGTGTGTATACACACACACACACACACACACACACATATAGGCATATTACTATCCTTTCTAAGCATTTTCATCAAAAGTAGATAGGGATTTAGGGTTCTTTTGTCTGACCTGTCTTTAAAAAACAAGAATTCCCCCCGAAGGGTGCTGACTGCATCAAAGGACAAATCAGGGCTGCACATCAGTGATAACTCAGGTTCTGGAGAATTAGGTTTGGTGGGTACCACAGGGACATCAGGGGATGCTGGGGGAGGTCCTAAAGGGAACAGATTAAAGGAGGCAAAGTTAGGAGAAATGTGGCCCTTGTCAATTGTGTGCTTCCCCCAAACCCTCCAGAATTCTGACTTGGATACGGACAAGAATGTGGTATCACATTCCCTCTTCCAGCTTCACTCACCGTAGAGGGACTGAATGCCATCCACATCATCTTGAGAGAGGCGAAAGCGGGCCAGGTCTGTGGAGGACTTGTAGACTGGGTACATCAATGCTTCAGTTTTGTCTGAGTGAAAGAGACCCAGGGAGTGGCCAAGTTCATGAGCAGCAACCAGGAATAAGTTGGTACCTATGGAAGAAATCATAAGTAATAGTTGCTTATCCTTAACTGCATGTATATCATATAGCTGAGCAGTACACAGCATTTATTTATTTACTTCCTGAAACCACACGAGCTTGTACTCACTTTGTTTGCTGTCTCATTAAACAAAACACGTGTCTTTGTCTTTGAAAACCCATGCTTGAGCTCAGTCTGAAGGACCTAGACTCACCCAGCAGTCCTCTCTTTGGCTTCAAACGGTCTGAGCAGCAACCTCACTCATTGCAGTTGGAATGGAGATCACTTATTGTCTAGCATATCAGAGCTCTCTCTTTTCCTTCACCCACGAAGAGCTAAAACTGCTCCCTATGGTTAGCACTTGACAATTCTGGGATCAGTCAGCTCGTCTCAGGTAGTACTCATCTTCACCTAAAACCCTTCACTGACCCTAACCCTACACGTCCCCCTGGATTCTGCTTACATCCTTTCTCATACCAAGTCCCAGACGACGACTAAGGAGAGAGATGGCATAGGGATTGTAAAACTGGTTTAAACACAGCACACCTCAGTGTTTGCCATAAATGAACTCTTGGATTCTAACTGTGCTCACTTTCTTCTCACTGTAATGATGGGAGACAAGCCCCTCAGGCTGAAGCTGCGAGGTGATGAGATTGGCAAAACTCTGACAGATGTTCCCTGTGAATGATGTGGACCGGAGGAAGTTTTAAAAGAGGGTCCTCTGTGGGGGTGGGGCAGGGAAATGCTAATTCCGTAACACAAGAATTTTATTCAGTGCAAAACTTATATTTGTACTTTCTACATATATCAGTTTGTATTTTCATTATAAAACCCAGTTAATATCAAAAGTAATACAATTTATTTCAGTCAAGTTTTTGAAAACTTAGTCAATCCCCAAAGTTATGCAAAGAAACCTGCCTAGACAGTTCTGCCATTGTCCTTCAGGGATGGGTCTTTTTTTTCAGAAACTGATAAAAAAAAAAATCATCCCAACTAGAAGTCACCAAATTGTAAGCTTATTAAGACCAACAAAACCAACCAACCAAACAAAAACCCCTTAGATTTCTGAAGTTTAATTTTGGCTTCTGGTTCAAAGGGTAAAGAGGGCAAATGACAGGAATCAATGCCCTCCCCTACTGTATTGCTGGACTATCTACAGTTGGATACCATTAGGAACTTAAGTAAGAGTAGCCTGTAGATCACACAAGATTCACAATTGCTAAAAAAATTTATGATTTTTCTTCTTTATTGGAAATAGTTTTTTCTCATGCAATATATCCTGATTAGAGCTTCACGTCCCTCTACCCCTCCCAACTCCTCCCCACCTCCGTTTCCCCCAGACCCACTTCCTTTCTGTCTCTCATTGGAAAAGAAGAGGCTTCTAAGGGACAACAGCAAAACAAAATATAATAAGATAAAACAAACCATCACATCAAAGTTGGACAGGTCAAACATCTAGTGATTTATTTTATGTTGTGCTTATTAGGAAAATAAATGCTTTTCAGGCACCAGAAACTACACTAAGCAATTATTAAAACAACAACAAATAGAATGTGTTCCATTGGAGTCCAGAACACATTCTAGCATTAGGAAGGCTGATTACGAAATTTCCCAACACTAAGTCCAGCTGTGACTGAGAGCACTAACCTGTGGTGTCTTCTGTCCATTGTTCATCATCATCAAAGTGAGCGTCCCCGTTAATCCCCAGCCCAGGGGCATACGCATGAGCCAAGACTGCTCCAGGCCCGTCAAAAGGAACGAAGTCTCCATGTTCTGAAGGGAAATGGTACATATTTTGAACGGACAATTGCTGGTTAGGACCTCTTTGTGACATTTTCAGTAAGATGCCACTGGGCAATGTGTGTTTCAGTTCTCGGGCTTTTACCTCCAGCTGCGAAGGAGATCATGATGTCCGCCTCTCCTTCAGAGAGCCTGGAGAACGTGAGCGGGGTCACCGCCTCCCAGACTTTCAGCGCTTTCTCAATGGCAGAATCCACACTCTCTCTCGGTAAATCTGGTGTATAATTTACAACCCTGGAGGAGAGAAGTGGAAGAAGGAAATGTGTGTTGCTGCGAGGCCTCTGGCAGTGTTAGCATTGTGTGAAAACTTTGGACCCAATCACCTACCTGTAGGTGAGGTGGGTTTTCCTCCACTTTGGCGAACCTGGAAAGGTACTGAAGCCACCAACGTCGGGGACGCCACATCTGGGCTTGAGCATCACATCCATAGTGTTGGAGTCCAGCTTCCCTGTCATCTCCAGCCCGAGGAACTTCTGCATTTCTTGAATTTTTTTGACAACAGGACTACTGTCCTTTTTCTTAACAAACTGCTTCGCATCTTCTGCAAGGCCGTAGTATTTTTCTAAGTATTTCTAATGGGATAAATACAGGTTTTAAGTTTCAATTATGAATTTTTTTGATATTGCTATTTGTAGTAAATGCCATACACCTTCTTTATTTCATTCATCATGATAGGATTTCAATATGTAATCGAGGAACTCCTTGAATTCGTACTCAGACGGCTTGAACTTATGATACCCACATCTGCCTACCAAGCCCTGGGATTCCAGGCTTGCACCACCAAGCCCAGCAATGGCTTTACTTTTCTTAATCTCTTTGACCTATTTTTCTAGATTGCTGAAATCATAAGCATAATAATTCATTTAATTTTGTCAGTGATCGCCCCTTCCTGGCTTTATTTTTGCAACAGTGTCTTTTTTGCCGTTAAAGCAATGGAAGTGAGGGGAAAATCAGAAGTTCAGAGAAAGTCAAAAGGAACAAATAAGCCTTCGTGAGAATATTTGTCTGTTTGGGGTAATTTTATTTAATTCGCTCAATTTCCACTTTTCTTAGTGGCTTACTAGGAAAAAGTTAGGCAAGCCTCTCATGAACTAACACTATAAATATTTTTCTGAGCTACACTGGACTCAAGCTCTGAGGCATGGTCCAAAGCAAGGCACAGTTTGTGCTCTCGTCCCTCGCCACCCCTGAGCCTCCAGCGTTAGTACCGCTACCATTGCCAGCACGTGTGACCATCCAAGTACCACCCAACACTGACGGCCTTTGTTTCTTTGGTACCAAAGGAAAAGGAAGAATCATGTGATACTGAGACCTTCTAACACTCCTCCATTGCAGAACCACTCCTACACAGGCAGTCAGAACCAGTCTGTGGACTGCAAAACTGCGCCCTGCCAAAGAGCCCAGAGGTGATTTCCACCTCTTACCTGAAGAAACTCCATGCCAGAGTCGGCGCTACTGTGCAGCGGGTAGGATGAACCAACTGCCACACACAGCCACAGCAGGACCAGGAGACTCTTCATTTCCATGGCTTCCCTCTGCTCCGAGCTGCCTTCGCTGTGTTCTACCTCCTCCTATGTCCACCCTCCTGAGCCGAACTTTATAGAGTGACACCGTTTGTGGCGATCACCCGCAAACTGACTCATCATTGCTTCCACCCAAGTGGGACTGCTTCCAAACACCAAAAATCAAAGTCGGGTGATACAACCTTCTTTACCAAGTTTTCTGAACCTACTGAATTTTGCAAGGCAAAACAGTGATTAATCTCCCGGAAATGCTTCCTGCCTGACAGGATAGAAAACTGGGACTTTTTTTTTTTTTAATTTGGAAAACTTAACTATAATTCAGACACAGTAATGTTTGTGACTTGGATAGAAGTGGACTAACTTAGTAAAAAGCCCAAGTCATGAAGAGCTTCTAGAAGGCAAAGCTGAATACAGAGAGATGTGGCTAAGGGAAACATGTACCTACACAAGGACAGGCCACACGGTACGTCACCACGGCCTACACTACATGATGTCACTACAGACACACTATATGTCACCACGCACTGTAAGCACAGGATGAAGCATCCAGAAGGGAACTGGAAGGGGAAAATAAATCACCTTTATAGAGTTTTTTTTTTAACCCAGTACTGGTTTTTCATCTGCTTATTTATTGATTGATTAGTTAAGACAGAACCTCACTGTGTAGCCCTGATCTGAAACTCACTGTGGAGACGAAGCTGGCCTTGAACTCACAGAGATTCCCCACCTTTGCCTCCTAAGTAATAGAATTAAAGGTGAGTGCCAACCATGCCCAGTCAAGAATTTGATGACGAGAAGAAGAAAGCGGATCTATGAGAAAGAAGCCATCTGGGGGTTTCGTCTTAATTCCATAGGCCATTTGCTAAAAGAAAATGAAGCCACAAAAGTTTTTTTCCTTAAGACTCTAAAATTAAAATTATTTACTGGGCTGAAATGTTTTGGTTTTATCTTATATACTTTTTTTTATCAGTATTTTCTCCTGTCTTTAGAATAAAATTAGTAGATGGTCTGAAGCTGGCAAAGATACCCAAGGTTCTTTGCTTTTCTTTAACTTGTTTCTCTTCTCTCTTCTCCCTTCTTCCTCTCTCTCCCCTCCATTTGCCTCCTCTCCTTCCTCTGCTCTCTTCCCTGTCTTTCTCCTCCCCTGCCCTCCTTTTCCTATCAATCAGAACACTGCTTATATTGTTGGTGTATGGCCTAAGACTAAGTGAAGACCTCAGACACTCTTATAGAAGTTGTGCTAAACTCAGCACCCTCTCCCCTTCTCTTGCCCACCTCCCCCAGTCTTCCCCATCGCTGTAGACTGCAAGACTGTAGGTCATTTGCTTGCTGAGGAGCACCCTGTGCTGGAGGTGAGAACTGGGTTAATGGTCATGGTGCTCACAGAGGCATTTCCTTTGCTGCCTCACTCCCTTTACACGTCTTTCACATTTCCTTCTTGTTCAATTTGTTTTTCCAGTTGGGAAGATGGGAAAAAACAGGGTCACTCTTCTGAGATGAGATCACCACACTGGAGATACAAACCAGACGCCTGACAGCCAGTTGCCCGGAGGCTAAGACATCCATTTCCACTCTGGGTTTTCTGTCAAAACCAGAGTTCTATAATTCTCTATGCTTTAGATGAGACAGAATTTGTATTTTTTTTCTTGACTGAAGGAAGAGGGAAATGTCTGTTGATGCTGCTGTGAAGACCAATGGTTAGTGGCGAGCAGGATCCAGGATCCAGTAAGGGCAGAGACAAGCAGAGAAAGTGGGGTACAAAAGGCAGGAGAATCATGGTGGCCACATTTCCTCCTAGATGAATGGGTTTGCTTCATACTTTTTAGCTGAAATTATCACTAACATACATGTTGGTGTATTTAAAATTTAGAAGGAGGGTCTGAAAGATAAGAGCTTACATTCCCGATTATACAGAGGTGATTGACAAAATGGTCTTGTTGTTCCTGAAATGGAACAAGCCTGTGCTATGTAACCGAAAGATACCTCTATGAACAACTTGAGACTTCCCTGGGAAATCTTTTACAGTACCAGCCATCATTCCTCATTCTCCAAAGGTGCCCTTCTGTTAGTGCATTTTTCAACTCGACTATGGTGCCATGGTTTATGTGCCCCTCTCCCACAAGTTATCCGACTATGGTGCCATGGTTTATGTGCCCATCTCCCACAAGTTACCCGACTATGGGGGTGCCATGGTTCATGTGCCCATCTCCCACAAGTTACCCGACTATTGTGCCATGGTTTATGTGCCCATCTCCCACAAGTTACTCTAAGTTTCTTGACACACTTCATTCCATATTCCTAGCTCTTAGCATAGTTTCTGGAATATAGTACACACCTAAAATAATGCTTAAACAGTAGATTAATATATTAATCATGAATGAAAGACACATAGAAAAACAAAATTTTTAATTCGTAGAGATAATTTTGAATTCTTGGATCCTATAAATACCCTAACAACCAATTTTTTCAATTTTTCCAAATATTAGTTACTTTATTTATTATGTGTGTTTCCTTGTGTTCTCACGGGTACTTCTGAGGGTTGCAACATGGCATGTGTGCAGAGGTCAGAGAACAGCTTTCAGGAACCAATTCTCTCCTTTTACCATGTGGATGCCAGGGATCAAAGTCAAGCTATGCACTCAGCTCTAAGCAGCTTTACCCTGAAAGCCATTTCACTGACCTTCCAGTAATTAAATTTTTGAAAGCTTTATTTACACAGAAAAAGTTCAAGCTATCCCCTTAAGTTCTTCTGTTAAAGGATCAAATTGAAAACATATGTATGTCTTCTGGCCACTCAAACTAAGGTTGTAGGACCAGCCTCTTTTTCCACAGTGAAAGAGGCAGTCAGGTTGTACACTACTGATTGAATATAAAAGCATTTCATTACTGAAAAGGAATAGATAAAATAAACTAAGTAAAAGGAGAGGAGGGAGGCAAAAAGGAAGTCAGGAAGGAAGGAAAGTAGGAAGGAAGGGAGGGAGGGAGAGACGAAGGAAGGAAGGAAGGAAGGAAAGAAGGAACAAAAGGCAGTGAAAGGGAGGGGAGAGGAAGAAGAAGAAAGGAAGAAACAAAGGGAGACAGGAAGGAGAAAGGAGGAGGGAAACAATATTTATTTTTAATGAAAAAAAATATGTGAACACTGGGAAAATGTGTATTTCCAACACAGAAATGGGAAAGACAGTCCCACAGAACAATCATTTATTGCATGGTTTAATAGACACAAGGATCTAATAGCTAGTTTTATGAACCTGGTCTCTGAGTGTCCAGAGACCTGGAGCTAAAGTCAGTCTGATCCAAACTTCTCTGCAGAAGTTGCAGCTGGTTCAAGTGACATCTGATAAACTTTTACTTCCTCTTCCTGTTGGTCATGCTCCTTCCTGACTAATAAGTCATGACAGTGCACAGTCCTTGCTCCGGTGAGCAGATAAAATCACTTAGCTCTACACTAATTATCAAGTATCTGGGTCTGAAGTGCTTCAAAATAACGCAGATTAAGAGTTCACATTGCTTGATAAAAATCTAAAAGAAATTTAGGAGATGGGTAATAACAAAATTAATTAAAGATACTAATTTAAATTGATTTTTAAAGGTGGGAAATAAAGAACGGAGGAAGAAAGAACTGGGGGAATGATGGGGAAAGACTACAGTTCAGAAGAGGTTTTCCTTACACTGTAGCAAGAAATAGGGGCTCAACAGAAAGGGCTTAAAAATAGATAAAACAGCAAAACTGCTATCAAAGTAAGTTTATACAGTGATGTGGACATGGAGAAAATTCGGGAGTCAAAACATTTCCTAGAGAAATAGTAGTGGCAGAGAACTTGTTGAGCACACAAAGGCTTTGGGTGTGGGAACACACGCACCTGCATGTGGACCTGAACACATATATGAGCCCACCCCCACACACTCACACATGAACTCGGGCTTTGTGTTTTGTCACATGATCTTCCCCTCTCATCTCTTCTCCCCCTGTAATGCCGTTTTCCATGCAGGTGTCCTCAAGTGGACCTATGTCTGAGGGGAGTCATACATGGTGCCATGTCAGATAGATCTTAGTACCCCTCTATTGTCTCTTCTCCAGGGCAATAAATCAGGTCAGACTGAATCAAAGTCCGGGTTTTAATCTGAGCAAAGCATTATTGGGTGGTCCCAGGGGAAGAGAACCACAAGGGGAGATCTGTGGACCAGACCTTAAATACCCTCGGGGGAGGGGGTGGAGCCCCTGTTTGGCGGACTTTCTTTGGGCAGCGTCTGAGAAGGGGAGCTCCAGGAGAGGGGCTGCCACTTGGTGTGCTGTGGGTGGGGTATGGAGAGGGCAGCTCTAGGGGAGATGCCCCAAATCCCAACCTTTTTGGGTATATGTGGACACTGGTTCAAGTCTGGCTACTTTCTGTTGGCAATGGACTACCAAAGTGGGAAGAAGAAAACTCGAACACTGCAGCCCAGCCCGGGAGGCGGTTCTTGTCAATGACAGTGGACACACTGCAGCCCAGCCCAGGAGGCGGTTCTCGTCAATGACAGTGGACATAAACCCACAAGCATCACAAAAATCAGCTATATTTGCTGATGTCTGTGATGGAAAGGCGGGTCATCTTTTAGTTTCTGAAATGACTTACAAGAAAGAGGTGGGATCCATCCTCTTCCTTTTGGTATTGCACTATGTATATGGGGGATAGTATTTGTAATTATTCAGCCACAGATAAGGCTGCACTTCTGGGTTCTAAAGTCAGACACCTGCGGACAGGTCCTCCCCCCCCCCCCCCCCCCCCCCCGTGACCCATGTGTGCGCATGCGTGGTGACATCCACGTATGACTCAGCTAAAACCCTTGCATGAGTCTCCCATCGGTGTCATCAGTGTGATGTAGTCACGCCAACCCCCTGTGCGCATGTGCTAGGAAGCTTTAGAAAGCTGGACGGCCATCTCTCGCTCTCTCTCTCTGCACACCGATCCCCAGCCCTGTATGCACCCCCTCTAATAAACTCCTAAGCGGGTTTGTTGCCTGTT